TTGGCAGGTCTTCCAGCCACTTCTATCAAACCTCTACAATTAATCCAAAATGCCGCTGCAAGATTAATCTTTAATGAGCCGAAAAGAACGCACGTCACACTTCTGTTCATCAATTTGCACTGGCTACCAGTAGCTGCTCGCATTAAATTCAAGGCATTAATGTTTGCCTACAAAACCACCACTGGCTCTGCACCCCTTTACCTAAATTCATTACTTCAGAGTTATGTGCTCTCTAGAAGCTTGCCATTTTGCAAGCGAACTACGCATTATTGTGCCATCTCAAAGAGGCACAAAATCACTCACGGACCTTTTCATTAACCGTTCCCTCCTGGTGGAATCACCTGCCCAACTCAATCCAAGCAGCTGAATCCTTAGCCATCTTCAAGAAACGACTAAAAACACATCTGTTCCATCTTTATTTAAACCTCTAACTCTAGCATTTTCTATTCTAATTTAATTCTACTTTGTCTTTTTTTATAAAAAAAAACAACAACACTAGCTTTCTATTTTTTTCAATTCTGTCTACTTGTTTTTCTTTGTGTGTGTATATATATATATATATATATATATATATATATATACCGTGCTACGCTTTCTATTTTTCTCAATGCTGTCTACTTGTTTTTCTTTGTGTGTATATATATATATATATATACCTTGCTACGTGTACTGCGTTTGGCCAACTTAGACTTGTTAGACTTGTCATTTGCACTTATATATTGTTGCTCTTTTGTTAGTTTTGATTGCATTTATTGTCCTCATTTGTAAGTCGATAACTTTGTAAGTTATTACAATACATTACATTACATTTAGTCATTTAGCAGACGTTTTTATCCAAAATAAAAGCGTCTGCTAAATGACTAAATGTAATGTAATGTATTGTAATGTAAATGTCAATTGACATCAAAATTGACATTTAAAAACAGGTCAAATATGCAAGTCCAAAGTCCAAATCCTGACATCAAAAACTTGGAATGACAGATTTTATGTAAATTGAATGTCAAATATTTTGGCCCACATATACATTAAACCAATTTCAGTGTGGGATTAACTTCTTATTTTTACCCAATTACCACTTGAAGAAATTGCTGTCCAAACTGAATTTAAAATGATGTTACAGCATCATCATCAATGACAAATATCTGATGTAAAATTGATATCAAGGTGCCCGCTGGGAAACGTCTTGTGTAGAGATACAGTTATGTTAAAATGGCCATGTTGTCACGTTCCGCTACTGTGAGGGAGCGCAGAGCGAGGAACGAGGAGACGTGGAAGATACTTTGAACAAAGAGCCGTTAATGACATCCATGGAACAAGGAACACACACGTACTGGGGAAAGAAGACATTCAATACCGGACGACAAACTCAGAATAGGAAACACTTTAAATACACATGACATGACAAGGGGATGATGAGAAAAACCTGGGAGCAATAACATAATTGCACATGAAGGAAAACTGGGTCATGGAAAGCACGTGGGGGAGGAAAACACAAAACACAGAACACAGGACTGACACATGTCTCTTTTCAAATGTAATATGAGTAGACCTATTTACTGTAAGTGTCTTTCTATGGAAGTATTATTTTATGTACCACATCTCGATAGACAAATAATATTGTCTCTTCGTTTTAACTGGACCAAAATATATGCAGTCATGTCTGACAACTTGACAAATAATTTCTGAAATTACGATATATTAATAAATATTAAGGTATTTTGGAGATGACCGATTTCTTTGGAAACTGATTACACTTGTTTTAGCCTTTATTATAATTTATGAAACTATAATGCATGTTATGCTAAATTAATCTATTTCAACCATTTACACAGATTTTAAACTACTAAAATAATTTGTCTTGTGCCTCACAACATAAGTATTACGTCCTTCATCTCTCAATAGAAATCTCAATAGATTTATTATCCTGTGGTTCTCTCTAATGGACAACATTAGTACAACACATTGTAGTCCATCGGCCATTTTGAGTTGGCAAAAATTCTTTTTCGATCTCCTCTTAAACCACTTGACTGATTCATAAGAAATTTAGCATGTAGCATCTATAGACACTAATGACAAAAAGTTATCAAAATAATTTTAATTAGTCAAACCATTTAGATTATATACACCAATATATTTACTAACCATTTCTCCATGCACTTATTAAACTATATCTACTAAACCATTTGATGAATCCAAATTCCTTTAATAACTTTTTGTCATGAGGGTCTCTAGATGATACAAATTTGGTGTTAAGTGGACAAATGGTCTAGGACGAGTTTGAAAAAGTAGATTTATAAAACAGCTCAAAATGGTGGAATAATTTTATACATTGCAAAAATCAGATATATACGTTTTGTTCAGCTTGAATTTTTTTTATTGTAACCTGTATAGGTGTGGAGATACGAGCAAACTAATTAAAGTACTTATTATAGCGCCACCTATGGTCTGATCGGGATGTGTGTGTGCACCTGAGTAGAGGGGGAAATTTGGGACCATCCTGCCAAATTCGGTGTTTCTACGACTTACGGTTTTGGCTGGCCAGACACTTTTAGGACAGAACAAGAAGAAGAAGAAGAAGAAGAAGAAGAAGAAAAAGGAAATCAGTACGAAAGCAATAGGGTTCCGGCACCTTCGGTGTGTGGACCCCTAATAAATAATTGTGAGGGTTAGTTAAAACAATACTTTACCAGTGGTTGTGACTGATGGAGCAATGGATTCAATGGATGAAATTGTCTCTATTGTTGTCGACACTGTTGTGATTGACTGACTTGTGGTGTCTGGTATTAAGAACATTTTTGTCAACAACATTTTCAAACAAAATCCAAAAGAAGACTAAATGCAACTAAATGCTCACCTGCACAGTAGGCTCCGCAAAAATAAGGCTTGACAAACTCATAAACGTAGTAATTTCCAGGGCAGGCTTTGACTCGTATAGGGTGGGATGTGTAAGTACAGCAGCCATTCCATTTTTGACTTGTAATCACAGCAGCTGCTCCAATAAGACCCTGCACAGACCTCTCTGATCACCACTCCATCCTCTATCTGAGGATGAGGACCATTGAGCCACAGATTATAGTATGTGTTACAGCTGTATGAACTAACACAGGTCTCTGACATCTGGATGTTCATTCCATAGTAGAAAGGCCGATACCAGCCATTCCAGGAGAAAGATTCATCACAAATCCAGTCTCCACTTTCATTGGTGGCTCTCCAGGGACGGTCCAGATACTGATAGTTGTAGCACGGATCACTGCTGATGCTGCTGAAAGCAACTGACATAGAGTTTACAAAAGTACAGTTAAAATAATGTATGTACATGGAAGACAGTTTAGAGTATAACATCCTAAAGCACAATGATCCGTAATTTCAGGATTTGAGCAATTATATTCCAACTAGTGGAGCGCAGTCAGAGCCAAACTGAGGCATGTAGGGGTATGCACATTCACAGGACTTGAAAATTAGGGGAATGAATGAATGAATATATGCATACATACACACATCAGTCAAAGACCAAGCATTATTTCATTAAACCATCTTATCAACTCTGAAGCAACTAAAAAATTCTAATCTAGCATTTTCTGGCTAAGAATGGAATTCAAATAAGTCCTTTTTGGCAATATCACAACATGTTCATATGTAGTACGCATATTAAATGGTTGGTTTAAAGTTGTGAGAACTGAAGAATTGTCTTAAAAATAAAATGAGCATTTCGTGAGTGCTATATGGGTGGGTGTGTGGAGATTTACAGAATGGTTAATAGACTGCACAAGTCCAACTGGTTAAAACATAATTTCATTAATCAATTCATTAAGATGTATTCTATATTGTCTAATAAACAGAGCATTTACTCAGAATACTGACATAAAAAGAAAAAAAAATCCTCACAAAAAAAATCCCAGAGAAAAGAAGTTAAAATTGCACCTGCACAATATGAAGGCATGTAGATCGACACATCTGGCTTGGCAAGTTTATAGACATAGTAATCTCCTGGACAGGCTTTGACTTGGATGGATGTAGATCTGTAGTCGTCACACTGACTAGACCATACATAACTTCCTAAAACTTCACGGGTCACCACTCCATCCTCAACTCTTGGATGAGAACCGCTGAGATACAGTCCAGTTTCACCACCACATCCTGTATTACTCACACACCACTCAGACATCTGGGCACTTTCTCCATTCAAGTACAGCCGATACCAGCCACTCCATTCAACATGGGTGTCATCATGTCCATTGTACTGATATGAGCTTTGCCGTATGTCTCTCCAGTATTCATCACGAGTGTTATAGTCATAGCATGGATCAGAGCTGGAAGTTGTAGATTCTAAGAGAATAAAGACAAAAAAAACACTTTTATATATGATAGAACAGTATATGATATACTCTATACTTATTCACTGATAACACTTTAGTATAGGAACCAGTTCTCACTAGGGCTGGGTAAAAAAATATCGATATCTAGATTTTAATCGATTCTAATTTTTACTAAACAATATCGATTCTTAAATCCCAAGAATCGATTATTCTAGCCTGTTTTCAGTTGATGGACGGAACATTGAAGGGCACCTCCCATCCAATAAATCGCAATAAGCATTGTGCTTTGGTACTTTTAATATGAAACAAAGTCTCAGATTTCAAATTCTGTCCGTTGTATTGCAGTATTCAAACAATAAATGCCGTTTTGGCGCTCTTTAATGTGGAGTGACAGATAGCTGTAGCGCCTCAGTTCAATAAAAGCGGCAGCACGAGGCGCACGTGAACTGATCATCTCCTCCACATTAATACCAGTTTCAGCACAAAATAAACATGACTAAACATCCGAAGGTAAGTATAAAAGAAATAGTACAACTTTACAATCCGTATCCTGTCTCATGTAATCGCTCAATCAGTGTTTCAGTCGCGCAAAGACGTCAATATAATAGCTTGAATGTCACGTAATGTCACATTTACCTCCGAAAAAACATATTTGGTGACCATAAACTCATTAATCAAAGAGAAAAATAAACTGTAGAGAGGGGCATTTTGCTAAATGTATGCACCATATAATATATTCATTATAACTTTTGCTGTTCTTCAATGTTTAATTTATATTTTTTATGACAGTCAAATGTTTATATTTAAAAATAAAAAACGAATTGAAGTAGAAATATTATTATGTATGTCTAATTGTAACTTTTTATTATTAAAAACTACATTAAGTGTAATTTAAACAGTTGTATAGCCTAAAACATCTGTCAGTTTTAACCTTCAATTTTATAGTATAGGCTACTGACTCTCATGTATATTTTACAGCATTAGTTAAGATACATTTTTTTCCTTGAGAAATTTTGGCATGTGTACCTGATATATATCCAAAATAATCGATATTGAATCGAATCGAATCGAATCGAATCAGGAATCGAATCGAATCGCAAGCTTGTGAATAAAAATTGAATCGAATTGTGAAATTTGTGTCAAAACCCAGCCCTAGTTCTCACTATTAACTAGTAGTTGCTTATTAGCATGCATACCGTATTTCTAGCATATTGGCTGTTTATTAGTACTTATAAAGCACATATTCTACATCCTTAATCCTATCCAATACCAAAATTCAATAAATACCTTACTAACAATTAATAAACAGTAATTATGAGTTTATTGAGGCAAAAGTCGTAGTTAATAATTAGCTAATAGTGAGAACTGGACCTTAAAATAAAGTTTGACCAAAAAAAGCACATTACAGGTAAACATTACATATGGTGATCTGCAAAGGAACTAGTTCTGCAACAATAGATTTAATGTGATAAACCCTTTACATGTATCACAAACACATAACAGGGGTCTGATTTGCTCATGTAAAGCAATAATCCTCCAGATTGTAATACAACACATTACCAGTCGTTGTGGTTTTGATGGTAGTTTCTGTGGTTGTAGTTTCGGTTGTGGTTGTCCCTGACATGACAGTAGACAGTAAAAAAAGAATATTACATAAAAATAATGATCTCTTACATAAACAAAGGGCACATGAATATATACCTGCACAGTATGCCAAATGGCATGCAGTCGGGCTCACAAACTCATAGACATAATAATCTCCTGGACAGGCTTTGACTTTAATGGGATTGGATTGGAAATAGCAGCAGTTATTGTCCCAGTGACCACAGACATCTCGAGTGACCACTCCATCCTCAACTGTTGGATGTCCTCCGTTCAGCCAAAGTGGAGCATGAGTGCCACAGCTATACTCATCAACACATGTGTCTGGCATCTGAACGCTCTGACCCTGAATGAAGAGACGGTACCAGCCGTTCCAGCTGACCCAAGTGTCACACATTATTTGAGAGGAATGTTGATTGTAGGTGGCTCTCCATGGATCATCCAGGACATTGTAGTTGTAGCAGGGATCAACAGGGGGAGCTGTTGATATGGAAACAGAAAAAAAAATCATTATGTTGACAGATGTTGCATACTTCTTTGTAGTTGTAGTAGTTGTGGTATGGAATTATTACCACTAGAGTACTCTTTACTTCCCAGTTACATTTGTGTTTTATTTTTATTGTTTTTTTTTAGCCAAATGATCAATGAAAGTACACTAAAGAAGTTTGAAAATAAGTCTATCAAATTCTTCTCCAACTCTTTTACGTTTTTACCGTTGACCTTTCCTTTCTCATTTGTATTATATACTCACTCTGTGAGCTGTATTATCTCTGTCTAATGCAAATTTTACTTTTAATGGGAAAATGAATTTGAATATTATGAATTGTTCTACACTCTTATGTAATGGGTCAAAACAAATAAATAAATATCATCGAGGACAGAGGCAAGGCCCATAGGGCAACTGATGTTGAAAAGACATCCAATTTTGTTTGGTGTTAAAAAAAACAATAATAATAATAATTAAAAGTAAAAAAATTGGTGTTTTGCCCTCAACATTTAAACAGGCTCGTATAACCCCACTTCTTAAGAAACCCACTCTTAACCCAACTCTTTTAGAGAACTACAGACCAGTTTCTCTTCTACATTTCATTGCAAAAACAATTGAACGAGATGTGGTCAACCAAGTCTCTGCCTTTCTCTCACAGAACAACCTTCTGGACAGCAACCAATCTGGCTTCAGAAGTGGACATTCGACCGAGACTGCCTTGCTCTCAGTTGTTGAAGCCCTAAGACTGGCAAGAGCAGCTTCCAAATCTTCTATACTTATCTTGCTGGATCTATCTGCTGCTTTTGATACGGTGAACAACCAGATTCTCCTGTCAACCCTATTGGAAAATGGTATCTCAGGAATCGCACGCCAGTGGCAGTTATGTGCCCTCTAGAAGCTTGCATTCTGCAAGCGAACTACGCATTATTGTGCCATCTCAAAGAGGCACAAAATCACTCACGGACCTTTTCATTAACCGTTCCCTCCTGGTGGAATCACCTGCCCAACTCAATCCAAGCAGCTGAATCCTTAGCCATCTTCAAGTAACGACTAAAACACATCTGTTCCATCTTTATTTAAACCTCTAACTCTAGCACTTTCTAATCTAATTTAATTCTACTTTATCTTTTTTTATTAAAAAATCAACAACACTAGCTTTCTATTTTTTTCAATGCTGTCTACTTGTTTTTCTTTGTGTGTATATATATATATATATATACCTTGCTACGTGTACTGCGGTTAAGTGGACAAATGGTCTAGGACGAGTTTGAAAAAGTAGATTTATAAAACAGCTCAAAATGGTGGAATAATTTTATGCATGGCAAAAATCAGATATATACGTTTTGTTCAGTTTGACGCAGAGAATCAGGGGACTTTTTTTTTTTTTGTAACCTGTATAGGTGTGGAGATACGAGCAAAAACATAAACGTACTTATTATAGCACCACCTATGGCTTGATCGGGGTGTGTGTGTGTGCACCTGAGTAGAGGGGGAAATTTGGGACCATCTTGCCAAATTTGGTGTTTCTACGACTTACGGTTTTGGCTGGCCAGACACTTTTAGGACAGAAGAAGAAGTGTGTGGACCCCTAATAAATATTTGTGAGGGTTAGTCAAAACAATACTTTACCAGTGGTTGTGATTGGTGGAGCAATGGATTCGATGGATGAAATTGTCTCTATTGTTGTCGACACTGTTGTGATTGACTGACTTGTGGCGTCTGGTATTAAGAACATTTTTGTCAACAACATTTTCAAACAAAATCCAAAAAAAAGATAATAACGATAAAAAACTAAATGCTCACCTGCACAGTAGGCTCCGCAAAAATAAGGCTTGACAAACTCATAAACGTAGTAATTTCCAGGGCAGGCTTTGACTCGTATAGGGTGGGATGTGAAAGTCCGGCAGCCATTCCATGAAGAAACACAGACCTGACGGGTGACCACTCCATCTTCCAGCTGTGGATGAGATCCGTTGAGCCACATTGGCTCATAAGTGCCACACATGTACTGATTAACACATGATTCTGGCATCTGAGCATTTTGACCATTGTAGAACAGCCTGTACCAGCCATTCCAGTCAACATTATAATCACACATGCCATAGTAGTAATAGTTATTATAGTAATAGTTGTCAGTGGCTCTCCAAGGCTCATCCAGACTGGTGTAGTTGTAGCAGGGATCAACGCTTGGGGTGGTGGAAGGTACTATTATGAAGTAATAAAAATAATACATTACATACTGAAGATTAAATATGGCCAAGTCTAAAATAATATTTAATAGGCCTGCATAGGCAGTTGTCATTCAAAAGTCTACAATGCAATTCATGATAAGCATGTCAAGTATAAAGAATAAATAAACATAC